TTTTTCAATCATATTTTCTATATACACAAGACTTATACCTAAAATTATAAAATCGAGTCTAATTTTACTTAAACTAATAATTTATTGATTGTAATTATATTACTTAAGTATCATGCATATATAATTTAGAGTTACCACCAAGATCTTTCTATTTTTGTTAACGACTAATATAATCATACCAATTATTAGTAGTAGTGTCTTTTTATAATATTTTTATATATATATATATATTATTTATAAAACTTAAATTTAAGGTTAAGTTTAAGAGATTTGAATTTAAATGCTATATATAGTTTGCTAATATACCATCTATATTTGTATAAAAAATGTTAAAAATTATGCTTTCTAAGAATATTTTAACAAGTATCATTATACAGTTCCTAAAAAATGAGAGAAAGTATAAGATGTGTATAGCAAGAGTCTTTTTCTCCATGTCATTCCAGTTGGAGCAATCATACGTTTCTTTCTATCCCCTCATCATGTCATGGAACAATATGATTGCTAAAAGTCAAAAACTGGGTTACAATTAAAGCCAAAAAAGAAAAGCAAACCAAAATAATTGGACAATGTCGTGCAGGGAAAATGTACTATGATTAGTCATGAGCTACACATTTGTTTTTGTTACACTTACACATAAACACGTACTCTTTTTTACTTGGAGGAACTTTACAAATTCATCTAACAATTTTTGTGAGCATTGGGCTGGGTCCCTTTAGAAAGATCACTCCACCTCCATCACTCTACTACCTGGGCTGCAATATTTACTTGATAGCGACCCACCACCAGAACCAATGCAGACAAAACAAATACTATATTTAGCCAAAAAAAAGAAGAAAATAGTGTAGAGAAATTTAAAATTAACCTTTTTTTTTAAATGGGCCAAAGGCCAAAGCCCAACCAGTCAGATAAAATTGTAAAATCAAACTGGTGCTTCTGCTCTCGTTGAGAGTCGAACTCAAGACCTCCCGCTTACTAAACGGGTGCTCTAACCAACTGAGCTACGAGAGCTTGTTAGTACTATTTGTGGCGTTTTATTAAAACTAGTCTATTGAGAATATTTGGTTTAGAGAAGATGAAAGTACTATTTATGTCAAACTTCCTTGTTTTAACAATGACAGTCTGTCTTACTTGTTTACATTTTTAAGCAACTTTACAAAAATAGATAATCTATCAAAGAAAGAACCCATCACCTTGAGACAGATGTAGGAGATAGAGTATATGCTTCAAGAGTAAATGTAGGAATCAATGTCCTTTTTTAACGTACAATTTTTAATTTATTTTATTGTGAATATCCATCAATTTTAATTTATTTAACGAAATAAATAAATATCTTTTTATATTATTTTATATTTAAAGTTTGTTTGGACAAATAATTTATTTAAAATCTTATCTAACAAGCTTTTATGTAATAAGAACTTATGTTATAAGTCTTTAAAACTTAATAAGTTGTTATAATTGAATATACATGTTAATAAATACTTTTACAATTTTAAAATGTTTAGATGTATTGTTATTTAACACTTTTTAATGAGTATTATTTATTTATTTAAGAACTATTAAGATATTATTTCATTTTAAAAGTTAAAATTGCAAATTCAATTTTGACCAAAAATAAAAATAAAAAAGATTAAAAATATTTTTAGTTGTTGCAAAATTAGTTGATTTTGATTAGTCCTTGTAAATTTAATTTTTGTTTATCATTCCTCTAAAATTGCAACTATTGGTTTTAGTCCCTATTTTTTTAGCAATCAATTTTAACTACTTTTTGTTCATTGAAAGATTAAATGAACATCTTACATACTATATACAATTGTTATTGATATCATGTTAGTGTTTGACATTTCTAAAAATTCATTTAGATCCTTAAAATAATTGTTATTCATCTATCTTAAAATAATTATTTCGGACAAAAAAATAGTGACCTTAAATTTTAGAGGGATGAAAATCAAAGAAAAATATTTTACAGGATCAAACAAAAATTTATTAATTTTATGAAGATCAAAAATAATGTTTACAAATTTTAGAAGGATAAAAAATAAAGAAAAAATTCACATGAACCAAAATCAAAACTCCTAATTTTACGAGGATTAAAAATATATTTAAGTAAAAAAAAAATAAAAAGTTACAAAATTTTTAAAAATGAAATTATATATCCCAAAAAATTAAAAATTAAAACTATTAGTCACTATTCAACTAATTTTAATTTATAAAAAATAAAATTATTAATAAAAGTATGAGAAATAAATTATATATACATATATAATCATGATTAAAAATTAAGAATCATAAATTTAAAAAATTAAAAGTCAATTCTATATATTTTATAAAATTATGATAAATTTTTTTTGAATAAATATTAACAAAAAAATTATTCCAGACGTGTTATTTTAGAGGAAAGAAGTTACAAGATTTTCTTATGATAGGAGAAAGTGAATTTTGGAGTCAGAGATAAAAAAATAAAAATAAAAATAAAAAAACTGGAGGAGAAGAGAAAAAAAATGTAGAGGAACAAAAACTCTTGGAGGGAGTAAGTAATAAAAAACATAAAGCTGGTTTTTAATGAAAGAATGAAAAATAAAAAATAACAGATAGACTTAAATATGTTTTTAGTCCCTCACATTTAGATTAAATTTATTTTTGATCTCATAAATTTAAAATTGTTGTTTCTAGTCCCTGTAATTTTAAAAGATCTTATTTTAATCCTTATATTCAAGTTTTGTTAAAAATTTATCAAACATTATTGCATAAAATCTACCTATTGGTATTTATGTTAGTGAAAACATCACATTAAATCCGGTTGATATTGCATAATCATCTTAATTTGTCACTTTCAAATATGTTATTGGTGACCTAAGTGACTAAAACAAGACTTTTGAAAATTACAGTGACTAAAATTAATAGTTTTAAGTTTGAGGAGGCAAAAATAAATTTATCTTAAATTTAAGAAACTAAAAACATATTTAAACCTGAAGAATATTTATGTCAGTAACAAGATTGAAACTTAAATATTTCTCATTAAATTCCGACATAAGTTAAACAATATGCTATATTGAAAAACTTGTTAGAATAAGCTCAAAACATCTTATGAATTAATATATAAAATATTTTATAAGTTTGTCCAAATACTCCATAAATATTTATAAAATAAGTTAATTATAAATAATTATTTATAAATTCTTCTAAACAAAGTCTTATTAGTTAATCTTGCTAAATATTTTCAAACCAATTAGTTAGCTTACAAAATTCCAATTTTTTAGCTCTTAACTTGTAATTTATAAGCTTTCAACTAACTCTAATCTAATTTTATCAAACAATCCTAAAATTAACAAGCAATTTTTCTCTCTAATCCAACAACTTTAAAATTTACTAAATAATTATCACAAATAACCTACATCATAAAATTTTATCAACTTAACAATTATTATTATTATTATTATTATTATTATTAATTTATTAATTAATTTATTTATTAAAAGTACACACTAGTCCACAAATAATTTTAGCATTTAAATAAGCACATAGGGCTTAATAGGAACAGACCTCCGACAGTGGGTTCTTGTTAAGGAACGATTCTTAATAAGAAAATCTAGGTTTAGGCGTTTAGCATCAAAAGTATCTTTATACAGTATTTGGTTGGCGAAAAAAAAAACGGAGGAACTTTTATAAAATTTTGTTAGGTTTAATTTTTAAGAGTGGAAAGATAAGTGAGAGGAGTAACATCAATTTTCATCCAATTTTTTCTCCTATCGAATATTGGAAAGATTTGGATAGAAAGAGAGAGAATTTAAAACATTTCAAATGCATTGACTAAAATATTCTTATACTTTCAAATCCAAAATTTTGAATGTATAAAAGTAAATTAATTTTAAAAAATGTTCCTATTTAACAAAATAAAAAATGACTATTTTCCCTCTTACTAAAATTTCTTCCCTTCCCTCCTCTCCTTTTAATTAAACAAGATGTCTAAAATCTCTCCCCTCCTAAATCAAACAGCTCCTTATAATCCTGCTTGTCTTATATGATAACCCCTCTTGGTCTGTTGGAATAAATATTGTATGACGAGCATGAGACCATAGGTGTACAAAATCCATACCCCTGAGATACCTATTAATCTATTATGTATTAGCGATAAATTCCTCGAAAAAGAAAAGGATACTCAATCCGTGCCATTATTATTGTTATCATTGATAAATTTATATATGCATCATAAAATTTGTTACCTTCTCGAGTCACATTTTCATGTACTACATGCAAAACTCATTCTCGCATTTTTATTGAGAAACAACTAATCTTAATTGTCCAATTTTATTATATAAAAAAAAAGTACCCTGATTAGCATAGAATAGTGATCCGAAATGAATTGCATGTTATGAATATATCTTCTGAAATATTCAAAAGCATTTTAAGATAAATAGAAAAGGATTCCAAGACTAACCGTATAATAATCTTTGTCCTGGCTGAGTGGAATTTCGCTTCAGGGTGAGGGTAAGTTTTCTTGAAATTTTGATACTTACGGTCCAAATACAACTTGTATACCTTGCATTTTGTATTTGGACGACATAAATTTATTAATGCTTAATATTATATCTAATAATAAAATAAGATAAGATATTTTAACGGATGAAATAAAGGGCAGTTTTTTTTCAAAAAAAAAAAAAAGCTACATAACTTAATCGCTTGCTATACGCTATTTTCTATTTGTCTATTTCTATTTTGGGCGCAGGTACAGACTTACAATTCTATTCAAGGAACGACCAAGTTACTGCTGGTCGCACCAAGATTTTTTGGGCAGGTCAAATCTGGTTTCATATCATGACACTGCTGACTCCTAAATCCAGGTATTCATAAAGAGTGTCGAATATTTGCGAATCAGCTAGTGAGTGGCAGTAAATCCTGTACAATAATTGCATCTTACCATAAAGATGTGTCTAATGCATCATCTGTACCAGACAAGTAACAGGTGACGTATCAACTGGATCTTATCGCCATCATCAGACAGGTGACATATAAAAAGTTGAAAGACTTTGTTAATAATGTTATTTTTGCATCCTGTAAAATCAGAAGCAAGCCCTTCAATATGAAAGGTGTATAGTTTTCGATACCTATTCTCCCCCTTACTGAAGCAGTCAAGCAGCGACCCTGCTGTTCTATTTAGGAAAACACAGCGTTTATGAGCATATGGAAAAATAACTGTTAATTTAATGGACAACACAAATATACTGGGCAGGGATTACATAAACTGGTGGTATTCGGAAGTTGGGCTGCTTCTGTTTAGAGAATCTCCGGTCATCTCAAATGTGTATAATGAGACATGAAGTAATTGTAATCAGGATGATTTACTCGCAATAGCCTAAGCCAGTTTTCAGCAGCTCGCGACAGCGAATTCGCTTTCTGACATTCAGAAACCCCATCAGGATCCCAGACAGAAACTTTGAACTTGTGGCAGGCAAGCCCAAAGATCGGTAACGATAGCTTGGATATTTCCCTGCCTCTTGAATAATGATTATTTAGCCCATCAGTATTTGAACCTGATTCAAAGATCAAACCGTTATACTTGATGCCTATTTACATACATCTTGCATTTATAGAAATTAAACAGATAGTAAGACATACTTTGCAAAGCTGTTGACAGGGAATGGAAGCTCAGGAAGCAGGCACTCAGGCTCTGTAATGTTGGACCAGTAGGTATTCTATATATTGGGTACCTTTATAAATACACATAACAACAAATAAGTTTGAATCAGTAATAACTACGTGCATTGTCCAACCACAATAATTAGATGACCAAGGCAATGAGGAAAACATACCAAGCAAATGAAACCCAACTTGCAGGGGAAAGATCACAGCTCCAGTATGTTTTCAACTCTGGAAATTGACGTTCAAGATCAGAAATCTGAGTCAAGAAATATGAATACTTGTTAGGATTAAAAACCAACATGATCCAATATGCAAGTCCAACAAAGGATGACAACTTGCCTTATTTGCCAATGGCTCACGATTATAAGGTGTCTCATGCTCAAAGTATTCGAATATAAGCTGACCAGGAGGGTTGCAGCTCTCGGTCTCATCACTTGATGAACCCATGAAAGGTTTACCTTGTGAGACCCTTTCCAAAGCATGATTACTTGCATCCAAAACATTAAGATGATTCCGGCTCCCATGAACATTCTTAGCTCCTCTTTCATGACAATAGCCACTGCTGCTATCACTGCTTGTCTCTCTAGCTGATTCAGAGTCACTTTCTTGACTGGGTTTCCTGGAATAAGATGGAAAATAGAATGACAATATTGTTACAAATGATACTATGCCACGTCTATAAATTTATATAAAATGATTAACTGGATCCGGAAAGAAGTATATCATAACACACAGGAAAGAGGGAAAATGATAAGGTGCCTTGATCTGAACTCCTAGCATTTAAATGATTATGTTTGTAAGCGTACAACTGAGATAAACATGTATCATATTGAATGTTGTCTAGAACTTGCAGAATGTGATTTATTAAAGTGTGAAACTATTAGCAGACACCGAGAAGGCTATGAGTAGCTGGACAAAAATAGCATCAGAGTTATAATGGGTAAGACTACCATAAACAGTGTATTTCATACAGCTGCAGAGGGTGGTGGACAGTGGAGAAGATATGCTAAATACAATCCAATTACCTAAGAAGCAGCTACATGATATAGAGTAGAGGGATAAGTAAATTGACTTTAGCTGTAGTATTAAACGGTTAGCTTGAACTCATAACAAAAAGGGAAAGTTTCAGTAGTCACTTTATTATTGCGCTCAATTCTCAGGTTTCTTGGATAGATAGATTACACTTTCCTGATGTGCAAGTATGTTACCAGCTTACTCATTGATCTCCAAATTGGAAAACAAGTTGATATACAAATGTAGGCCAGTTGGCCTAGGTAACAAAATCATGCAAAATACAAGACAGTATGGAATGTAATTTCTTAAGCTAGTTAGTCTTTCTCACTCTTTATGTGTTATCCTTCAATAGAGTTATTAGGAGAATATCCCCTCTACCTTGCTAAGGGCATTTCCATAGCACAATAATCAGAAGCCAAGCCAAAATCACGGAAATCTAAGATTATCAATTAACCCTAGATACTCCAAAAACGGCAAAGTACTGGTGTTGTACCCATATCCAAATATACATATGATGCTCCTAGATGCGTACATATCTTAGGTACCGCTCCAATACTTTGACTAGTACTAAACTACATATGACTCTATCTTCTTCGTATCCTTAAAGCTATAGAAAAGGGTAGGCAAAATATAAGGCCAAGACTTTTGAGTAGGACTAATGATGCTTTTTTGTGACATCCTGATATGGGTTTTGGGAAAATATATAACCTTGTAGCATGTTCTTAGGGGAAAGAATATTTGGATATATGCAATGGAAAAATATAATGTAACTAAGGTTTTGTAACTTTAGTTATGATCACAAGTGTTGTTTTTGTAAATTGTGATTGCCATCCTCCAATATAGTCATGTATTAATTGGAAATGAATCAAATGATCAATCTCTCTTTGCAAATATTTTGCATTATGAAAGGTACTCCCTCTGGTTCTTTATATAAAAAGCAAATAACTAATTCATCTACTTACATGAGATGAGTATGTATCTTGTTGATAGATTTCACCATAAATGTGGGCATATGTTTCTTATAATTGGGGATCAAAAAAGACTGACCATTTCTTTCTCATACAAACAAAAGACCAGAGAGGGTATTTTCTTAACTCAAATTATGTATCTAGGTCATATCCAGAATTTTTAAGACTTTCCTGCATTCTCATAGTTATGCCATATCATATTCTTGTCACATCAAGTATCTAGTTCAAATTTGATACAAATTTATGTTTTTGGTTGGAATGTGTTCTTACTTATTAATAGGCTTTTGGTTCACATTTCCTATTGCGGCAAATGCTTGTCAAAAAGCATTTGTAACTAATCGTGT